ATGGCAAATGCCATAGAAACGGCCCTTTCAAGAGATAAACGACCGGGCCAAAGTCAAAACGGGACCCTGTCCCGTCCTGGCGGTCATGGCTATATGGAAGTTACAAGTTTCTCAAACATCGGCTAGGCTGCAGGCGGAGCTCGAGCCAGCTCAATGGCAGGACAACAAGAAGTACACAACGAAATCCCCATCCACCATCACGCCACGATGTGCCCTGTTGTACTAATTGCAGCGGCCTCGAACGTGGGGAAACCTCTTCGATAGCCGTAAGAAATCGACCCCTGAACTTGGATGTCGATGGGCTACTGGACCGAGTGCCTCTACCGGATTAATCACTCCCCCTTCAAGGTCAACAAGGTTTAACCAAGTTTGAGATTGGAGGAATTTGAGACCACATTCCCTTAATAAAGGTGATGACTGTGATGATGGATGATGAAATGATGACCCGGACCTGATGATGGATGATGGATGATGGTTGATGGGATTCTGTGTGAATCATGAGAGATTGAATCATGATAATTACGAAACTCTATACAGAATACATATATAAACTATAGTTTACAGAATGAGAGCTGATAGATAATACAGAAATGTAAAACTAACTATTTTCTTTTCTGGGGGAGATGGGCTTGATTAACAGGGGGAGGTTTCTGGCCAGGAACAAATATATTACGGGATGTCAAGGTGGAAATTCAGGTTTTAAATAAGTTTAGTATTGGGGGCTCCAGCTAGGCTTGATTAATAAGGGGAGGTTACTTAATCCTGTGTTACTTAATCCTGTGTGCGCATTACCACCTTTATGTCTTTGATGTTTTTCAATCAAACAAGGAATCGGCCACGTATAAGAAATTGTGCAATATTGTGCATGTCATTCGCTCATAGCTACGAACAAAACCAAGTAAACGTGGTAAACAACAATATTATTGATAGTTTACAAGCAACCTGGATTTCCGCATAAGAAAGGATAGGCTGTGGATTTTCAGCTTGCAGCTTGCGTGTTAAAATTGGATCGATCTATCTTTGATCAGTCAAGGCTAAGACACTTAGACAACTTGTAAGTCTGACTTAAAAAGAGCAAATGAACCCCTGGATGTCAACCAACAATCTTTGCGGCATAGGGCATAGGTTGGCATCCAAAAGTGCAAGTTCGATCTGTCCTTTCTTTCAGAGGCACTGCGTGTGGGGCCATGCGCCTCTGCAAGTGCAGTCGTTGCCTGGCTCTCTCACAATTGTCCTAAAGTCTAAGAGTCTAAGGGGTTCAAAGTCTAATATCCAACAAGAAGCCTTTCCAGTAGGTCGGTGGGTTCTAGATTCTAGATGATGAAAGGACAGGTAGTCTTCGGCTTCGTTTCGCTCTTCGACTCCGAAAACGAACGACAAAACCAAAGTAGGAAGACACCCTGATGCATCTCTGCACCGCTTCTTTTCCTCACTCGCCAAGCTCAACATCCCCAAGTTCGTCACCGGGCTCTCCATCATGTGGATCCTGCGAAAATGGGGTGAGGGCCTACCTGGAGTCTCTAAGTACCTCAACAAAAACGAGTGCTAGTCTGTTAGTACCTGTCATTCTAGGGAATGCTCTCCATTTTCTTAAGAGTACTTTGAAGGACTGCAGAAACACGTCCCAGAAAGTCTTGCCCCTTCCTTTCGACGACGCCGCCGTATGGAAACCGACCCAAAACCGATCGATCCTGGCCTCCATCGGCGGTCCGCGAATCTGAAGATGAGTCGACGACTCTTCATGTGGCATGTGACGTTAGATGTTGGTCGACCAGCAGAACACCATCGCTGGACCAAACAAAAAGGTTCCGGTCGACCGGTACAATAGATTCTATATCATGTTGGTTTGGGCTGCCTGGCAATCACTACGGAAGGTTGTTTTATGTTGTCTGGTTAAAAGTCTGGTTAAAGCTGTTTTTCTATTAAAAAGATGTGCCAGGTGTTTGGAGACCCTGTCATGACAAGGACAAGGTCCCCACAGTGATTGATGCACTGGGATGTTTTCCTTTTTTGTGTCAAGCATGCAGTGTTCAAAAACTCGCACACTCTGGGATCGTTGAATGTGAACCTTTTACTTTTACCCTTCAAACTAATCTGCCAGTGAGGGCAAGCAACTGGTGTGCCCCTGACACCCTCTGTCTTCCAAAACCTTCCGAGCATCCTCCCACATAGCAACATAAAACCTCCTCAAACCGAACCAACCTATCAGACTTAAAAGAAGATCTTCCTGCCAAACCATGCCTGACAGTCTGAGTCTGACAGGCCCATGTTTCATTCAACAATGCAGGTCGCACCCGCGACCGGCTTCGCGTGGCCCTCCTGCGTTTCTTTGCGCCGCTTGGCGCGCTCCATCCGCTTTCGCTCAATCTCCTCACGCTCTGCCTGGAGACTGAGGCCATGTAGATGGCATTTAGACAAACACCAGGAAATGAGGCACGATGAGAAGGCTGAGGCTAGACGATTATGGATAAGTGGCTTCTCTCGCTCGATCTGCCATCGTTAGTCTTGTCCAGTTAGTAACCTGGCAAGACTCCCCAAAAGGGAACTGAACTGAGGCCTTGCGGACCTGGCAAGCCTATCGATGACAACTGATGACTCACACATGACTCGGTGGATGAGGGTCCCAGGGTCCTAAGAATCCAAGCCCGTTTCTTGGTTGATTGATGCGATCTCGGCCGCTGTGCGACGATTTTTGGAACACAGTACTCTCTTTCTTCTGCATGGTCACCGACGTGAAACGAGCAAAAAAACAACCTACTAGCCTATATATGCCTATATCTGTATGGAAGGGCCTGGTGTCCTTACAGGAACCTGACAGTCATCCCGTAGTCATCCCTTGCCACTAATGCCAAAGCACCGTGGCAAACGCCGTTGAGCGGAGGCCGCAGACGCACGTCTAGGTGCGGCACGGCGGTCTTTTACGGTCTTGGTCAACCAATTTCCCGAAAGGTTCCGAAAGCATTAAACAAAAACAGAAAAACCTCCGAGATTCTCCGTGCCTGGGTGGGATGCTGAAACTTGTCCAAGGAGCTTCTCACTGGACTGGGCGTGGCAAACAACAAGACCGAGAGGATGGCATCACTGATGGCGTCAATGTGTCTTCTGTGGGCGCCCTATGACTCTATCAGTTCGGCCGTCACCTCTGGTTTAACGATGGTTGCCTAAATCAATGGACATGTTTTGGATGGGCAGGGACCTGTAGTTCCCAGGATGTTCTACAAAATGCAATGCCAGTGAAACGTCCCTGATAGAAGTACTTGATCGACGCAAATCAGCTCATGTGGGAATAGCAATGTGATGTGATTGATAAAGACCGCGCGATTCCTCGAGTGTACTCGGCGTAGCCTAGGACATACCATGACATATATTATAGAATGCTCGCATGTAAATGGCTGAATGGGTGTTGATCGCGGAATGGGTGTTGATCGACTATACGCTGACTTCCGGTCGCCTACAATGGGAAGCAACCAAAGATTATACTATAGAGCGTGCTTACTGTGAATGCGCCAACGCACGTATGGTGTTCTACACCCTAAACCCCAATAAAGCCTGAACCTAAACGCTCAATTGTTGGAGTATTGGTATCGGTGCGGTTCGGTATGCGTATCGATGTAGTATTGGTGCGAGTTCCGCGTCTAATATATATAACATATATAGGAACACGCTTTGCAGGCGCTAAGGAAGCATGAAAGCCTATACTGGGAAAGAAACCAATGCTGGTGACATAGACCCCCACTTGGCTTCATTGGGAGGAATCCAGGATATTCTTGGATGTCAGGTGTGGGAGGCAGCCATTGAAGCCTCATTGTCAACAAGAACACGCCAGCACATTCATCAGTTTTAAGGATTTAAATCATATCACCACTGCATGCTCAGGTGCCAACTGTACTTCCCAAATCTTCCAATGCTGGTGTTTTCTTTTCTGGTCACTTCATTTTTGTGTGTTGTGCCATGGTATGCTGGCGGATGTGTTTGTGAATGAGATTGACATTGGCCTACCTGTCAGTGCCCCACCACCATATGCCCTGCACTTGCTGTTTTGCAGTTGGCCGCAAAATTATATATAAGAATCTTCAGTTCATAACCGTCATAATCCATAGTATGGTCTCGTCCCCGAGTACAAGCATGCAGCGATCTCTGCATGGTCGCCGTCCCTTTTTTCCCTGCATGGTCGCCGATCAGGCGGTGCAAGCTCAGGTAGTTGAAAACCTCAGGGCCACTGCTATAGGGATCAACTACTACTGGATCAACTGTATACCAGGTATACCAACGATCGATGGGTGGTCAATTCATCCCAAAACAATCCTAAACAACTGCTGCCAGAACTGGAGATCCTCAACAAGGAGTCACAGGCAATTGCGGCTCTCAAAACGAGTTGACGGCAGCTGGTGTGGACATGGCACCGGTTCGTGGTCGTGGCACGGTCCCGAAAGGAGGGTCAACTACATGCTTCGTGGCTTCCGATTTGGCAAAGTTTGTCAATGTTTCCCATGTTGCCTCACCCAAAGGCACTTGGCCGCAGCCAGGGAGGTTGACTATCTTTGGCATCCCCAAAGGCGACGTGGCCACAGCCAAGCGGCAAAGAAAGCAGCAGCTGTGACGCAGATCACCAGCAGCACCAAACCAATGCCCCACGTGGCGTAATCATTAAGCATCGGTGTCCTTTCCGGCGGCAGGCGCGACCCACGTGGGTGGGTAATTAAGCCCCAAATTCCAACTGTGTCCATTGAGGTTTGAACATCAACTGAAAACAAACTCGATCATGATCAAGTCGTCTCATGTTGTTTCAACTTTGCCAACGGCGTTGGCCATTCCGAATGGAGTCGAACATAGAACATGTATGGAATGTCGAAAATGCATGACAATATCTAGAATCTAGAAAACAATCCACCTGTCACTGTGCAACCAGTATCAACCAGTAATGTTTCAATTTCACACGGCCAAGATCAAAACCCAAGACTTGCACTGGCGCCGCTCCCTTTTGTATCCTTTTGTCCGCTTCAAGCTCGTTCGTAGGTCACTCCGTGCCAGTATCTGCTCTGCCACGGCTTCAAGTTCTCCGAATCTTCATTCTCTGGTTCAGATCCTTGCTCTGCAACCAGTTCGCGACAAAGAATCTGGATGGGCTCCGGCAGCGTCTCGTACAAACCTCGGGGAATGCAGCGGCTGGGTGGGAACATGGCCTCGTCCTGCGTCGCCCGCAGGCCGCCGCTGATGTATTCGATGCTGGGCAGGAAGCGCGTCGCGGCGGACCAGTTCGGCGTCCCTGCGTGGAGAATGCGCACGTCACGCAGCAGCGCCGCGCCTGCCGGGCATGGAAAGAGACGTGAGCTACGCCATTCTGGAGGCTCTTCTTGACGACGGTCCCAGTCGCGCTCCGTCTTTCCAGGAACCAAGCGGATGGGGCCATTCAAAGCTGTCAAGGGTTGCACGCAGAAGTTCACCGAGAGGAACGGTGGCGGCATCCTATCATCCCCAGGTGCCATCGGCATATCGCCATGCAGGAATTGATAATCCTTGACGCCAGGGAGCACAAAGTCTCCCCCCCCACTGTAGCACAGAAAGTCTGCCTTGCCATCTTTGGAAAAAATCTCCTCCAGCAATGGGTGCAAGACCAAGCCAGCCTGGACCAGAAGATTGCCAGCGATCTCTGGCACGTGCAGAATGCTACCCGTGGAAGAGGCGACTCCAAAGCTATAGCGGCCACGATTGCTCCGATTGCCCCATTGCTCCGGCCCCACGATCTGTGCTGCTACTTCCTCACATGCACTGAGAACTTCTTGGCACTGGTGCTCGGACAACACCTCGCTGATCACCACGAAGCCCGCCGCTCTGAAAATGTCCAATGCTTGGGTCTCCCAGCATCGGGTCTTGCATGAGATCATGTATTTGGCCACGTCCAAGGTCGAATCCATCGACTCCAGCGGCACTTTGTCCGCATCACGGGGGGAACGACTAGGTGAACGACTCCTGTCGTCACCAGGTGGCTTCAAATGATCCAGCGACATCCCCGCAATTGAAGCACGTGGCAGTACTCATTTGAGCATATTTGAGCCCGTACTGCAACAAGGTGATGATGTTGCAACTATGTTGCAAGAAACTTGAGAGGAGGGAGACACGAAAGGTAGGACAGCGGGAAGAGAAGAGAACGCGAGAGGCAGGAACAAAAATGCAATGTTCGACATGGTGATTTATCCCCTCGGAGGCGACCTTTCGTAAATATATGTTCATATGCACTCTAAATGTTCAAACATATGCTCTCGAAATGTTCAAAAAGGTTCTTAGGAAAACAAACTTGCCCCATGGCTCAGATCATCGGTGAGCATTGAATCGGAACATCATAGGATTTGTCCTGAAACCATAAGAGGCTCACGAAGACGCTCCCCAGGAGAGAATTGACGTGCTTCACAAAACAAACTCTAGGTATGTATCCCCTCGGGGAACACCTTTCGTGATTAGAATTTCATATTCACTCTTTCTAAAATGTTCAAGAGGGTTTCAACTATCCTGAAATCATGAGAGGCTCACGAAGACGTTCTCCAGGAGAGAATTGATTTTAGAGGGGGGGAGGGGGT